TTTGTTCTCATTTCGTTTTGGGTGTGCTAGCGTTCTTGGGAACAAAACTACGAGAGCGGCCTTTTTGTTTCCTTTTCTTCTCGGCTGCCGGTATTTGCAAAAGTGGCTCAGCAATCTTGACGAACGTCAGATTTTTGATTATACCTGGGTCAAGCAAATTCCAAGTTATGGGACAACATAAATATGGACATGAATTTCTATCTCTTAATCATGAAAATCTACTTAATACTGAGGCTAAAAAAAAAAAACGAAATTAATCAACATCACTGCGCCTCTACATTCGTACTCCTTTTAAGCTCATATCTCAGAAACTTGTATATTATTAAAGACTGATCTGCTAAGTGTTCTTACACGATATGTATTTGCATGTGTACATGCCACTTTTTATCTATGGAAATGCAAACACATCGTGTAAAGACGAATTAGATTTGCTTCTGTACAAAGCAGATGCACGTACATACATACATACGAAATAGAAATGTTTCTATATTCATCTGACACACTAATAGAATCACCTGTGTTTGGCTTATTTCATTTTTAAAGAACTTAATTTTAAATAGTTAATTAAATACTACTCTGTGAGAGCAACATTTTTTACGCTAAGATTTTATTTCTCTGTAAGCCTTGTTAAACCTGTTTCTTATTAATATTTACTTTATCTTATCAATTTACTTAAACTGCAATTTTCAAACAGGTGGCAACTCTCTAATTTTTTTCTTTCTATATTTTAAGTTGGATCCCTAGAAATACATCGGTGAAAACTGCACTCAATTTCATGCATTAGTTTTCGAGTGATGAGCGTACAAACATACAGACAGACAGACAAAAATTCTAAAAATTTTGTTTTTTGCTTTTTTTTGCCCTAGTAAATAATTAATTTTTCTTTAATCTCTATAATGTACGTACAGACATTGGCCAGTTACAATTTTACTATATGTATAGATAACGATTTGTTATTAAGCGCTTGTATTTCGTGAGCGCTGGAGATGATTCGGAGGATTGATTTATTTTTTTTAAAGGTGTCTCAGGATTACTTAAGTAAATTCTCATGATTAAGATATTACAAAGGTAGCTACTTTGTATCGGATCAAACGAGTAACACAGCCTGCAAAAAAGGTCTCAAAAATCCATTCGCCCACCTTGCGAGAGTCGCGTCGAATGTAAGTCGTTTTTGGAGAGTCAAATCGTATCGAAAATTTCATGTCATTGCCTAAAATTTCGAGTCGACGGGTGTATTAAAGCGGAAGAACTTGGCAGCACTGCATAGTTTTCGACGATTTTTGTCGTTTACTTATTTCAGCACGACAGTAGACAATGCCAATGTTGTCGAGTCGTTTAGCCTAATTAACGACTTGCGCAATGAGGCTGAACGCGAATTCTTAGCATCTTGAAACTTGCACAATATTATATGTATGTACATACAAATTATTGAATGGGTTGTATGAGCCCACAAAAATAGATTTTTTTTATGCGTTATATGAGGAAAACGCGCAACAGCCTCCACAAAAAAAAATCTAAAAAGTCAACGGTACTTTTTAGCGACACTTTATTGCACTAAAATTTAATGGGCTACAAAACTGTACACCCGAAATCTTTATAAAAATTCGGATTAAAAAGTTTGAAATTTTGATGAACATTTTTTGAAGTTTGACTAATTGATTTATTTTTTTTTTAAATTGGGGCAAGCTTCAAAACTTTAAATTTATGTGGTTTCAGCATTGAATTACATTTTAAATGAAAATTATCAAAAATAAATGAATGCACATAAGTTGCAAACAATATCATTTTGAATTTCTTTGGTAATTGATTAACCGCAGGCGTATGTGCATTAGGCTGGTCCAGAAATGCATGTGAAAAGGTAAAGTCAGAACTTTAATGCTCTCATCACACAGGATTATACCCCGTTTTTTTTTTGATTTTGAAATTAGAAAATATTTAGGTGGCTTAAAAGGGTAAAAGTTTTCCATGTACATACATATTTTATAAGGGAGAAAAACAAGTTTTATTAGATTAGAGTGTAAAACTCCAGAAAATCAATATTTTTCGATCAGAAAACTGTTTTTCTGTGCACAATACTTCCAGTAACAATTCCAAATTGTTTATTACACCATTTTTTAATACTATCGGTTTTTGTGGGTTCCCCCATTCCATTTTTTTGAGGTTTTTAGGGGTCCTAAAAAAAATGTTAAGAGTAGAAACCGGTTAAATAAATAATTGGGTATTATTACCGAATGTCTCCTGAAGAGAAACAAAGTTTTCCGATGGAAAAGTATTGATTTTCAAGAATTCTATACCATTTCTACGAAAACGTGTTTTCCCCCATATAAAATACATGGAAAACTTCGAGTGCTTTGAGCACTCCCTAAATATAAATCTAAAAAAAAACAGTCGTATAAAACAATGCTAGGGCGTGATAGCATTAAAATTCTGACTTAACTTTTTTTTTTTTGACCACCCTAATGCACATACATATATGTATGTGCACGTACATAAGTACAAAAATTTAATCAATTATTGGAACTAATTGTATGAAAATTTACCGACATGATGTCATAGTGACCAAGTCAATGCAGAATAGTCTCTTAATTACTCAGCGAATGTTATAGACACTATCTCTTCGATGCTGCTGCCTATCAATAAAAGTGAAGATGAAATTAAACAAAGGAAATATTAAAATAAACAAAGGCTGTGTTAAAAAAAAAAAAGGCAAGCAGCTGAGGACGAACAAATTCACTATCACTAATAGTCTAATAGTACAAAGCATTGTTTTTGGTTTGAGCTGTCGCAGTTGCATTTCTACTGAGTGTTGATGACACACAACAGGTGTTTTGTTGACGTTAAACAGCGAACGAAATAGTAGTCCATCATCAGCTGATGTAGATATATTTATTCATAATCGAGTTATTCATGTTTTTACGACTCACATTGGGTATACCGCTCCGAATACTTACATATATGTGTTACCTTGAATCGCTTAGTGGGTGAGTAGATATTGTTTCATTTTTGGCCGAATAAAAAAAAAAACGTCCATAAACCTAGCTGACCCAAGTCGCCAAAAATCAATAAAAATTAGCTAGGAATTAGGTGTCTTTTAGGTGTTAATTAGGGCCTCCAAAATTAATTTAGGTGTTCCTTTGGTTTCCGAGAAATTCGCAAAAATGTGTGGGTCAGCTAGGTTTACGTAAACCTAGCTGACCCACACATTTTTGCGAATTTCTCGGAAACCAAAGGAACACCTAAATTAATTTTGGAGGCCCTAATTAACACCTAAAAGACACCTAATTCCTAGCTAATTTTTATTGATTTTTGGCGACTTGGGTCAGCTAGGTTTATGGACGTAAAAAAAAACGTAAATAATAATAAAAAGCATTCAAACGCAAGGTTCAAGAACCACAACCGCTCGCTAACTCATTCATCATTAGTCATGTATAGCATTTTACTTTTTCTCGTATAAATATGTATTTACTTATTCTTTGTAGAAGTGCGAACTATGTACATATGTGTATCTTTTATGAGTGTGGAGAAGTATAATTTTAGTTATCGCAAACATTATAGGCACATAAACTCCAATACTTGTCCTACTTAAATTTATGCGCTCGATTTTTATGCTTTCTACATTATTTGTACGCGACAAGACAAGCCCAACTGCATTCCTGCTTTTGGCAAAAGCACAAAAATGTGGTACAAGTTAGTCTCAGCCGCCCAAACTCTCAACATTTGAGCTGGCTAGGCTAATTGGCCACTCAAAGTTGCCAACGCAGGAACATGTGTCATCGGTAAGTCAGCTTTGAAAGCGCTCAAGTTTCCATATATACATATGTATGTACATATAAACAAAGAATGCAACAACACACATGAATTTCAATAATGAAAAACCTGATTTCATGTGGGAGTTTTATGGCCACCTACAGCATCTTCATTTAGAAACAACCTGCTACAGCATAGCGAGGTGGTCAATGTGGCTGAGAAGTCATTAACTAGTGAACCAACTCTGGTTCAGTACTAGTCCGCTTATAACACTCACGATTATGACATCTGTTTTCGAAATTTCCTCATTACCAAAATTGAAAATAAATTTTATAGCCCCCCCCTTCGCGCATCTCGGCGAAGATTATAGCTAACGGTTTTCATAGCTATGAACTAGCAAAGTTGAATGGCAGCGAATTATCTGGGAATTATACTAGATCCCAAGCTAACTTGGGAAACCATACAGAGAGAATAAAGAAAGCGGGTATTTTGGTGATGATGTGGGTTCTTTACTCAGCAGCTCTAAGCATAAGCTCTGCATACGCAACACGAAGCGGTTGGCCACGTCCTGGTTGCCTTTACAAACCGGACATAGTACTTACATCTACATACAGTTCACAAATTAATAGGAATGCGATATTTTGACCAGTTCTAATTTTTTTTTTGTTTTTTTTTTGTTAATTATTTATTATTTATTTATTTATAAAGGTATTGTTCATTATCTAACATAAACCAATTAATCAATCAAAATTTCAAACGTTGAGGAAAAATTATAAAAATTGGACAATTTTTCACCAAAAATTCAAACTTTTTATTTAGAATTTTTATAGGTTATAAAATTTAAGTATAATAACCTGAAGCTGCTGCAAAATCGCAATGACTTGGTATTTTTTTGGACGGTGCTACGAGTTTTCTTCCACATAAAAACTGGTCGAGCATAAATAATACTGTAGGTAAAATCTCATTTTTTGAAAAAAACACAAAAAAAACGCCGAAACACGTTAACTTAATATTGGGCGTAGATTATGGATCTTTATACCATTTTTCCAGATTAAGCAATTATGGCGAGATGTTTTAAGTTTTTATGAAAAATAAAATTAAAAAGTAACAAGGAAAAAACAATTATTTTGTAATTTCTTTTTCATTTTTAATAAAGCCTGTTACTTTGCCAACAAATCATGCTACTTACGATGGATAAATAAAAAGTTTTAAATGTGTTTGAAAATATGCAATAATTTTTTAAGAAATAGGAGCAGGAAATAATATTAAGTACTCATACGTAACGCCTATCTCTTTTTTCTGACAAAAGACTGTACATTAGATATGTACTGCAAAAAAATCCCGTTTTTTGCAGTACAGTATTTTGAAACATTTTTCCAATAAAAAAAGGAATTTCTGATATTATGGTACCGTTGTACACAATAATAAATTTTAAAGATCCGCGCTTACACAATATGTTAGTGTTTGATCAATCTTCTTCTTCGATTTGTGGCGTGCGCCTTGATGTTGTCACACAAAGAGGAGGACCTACAGTTTTACGCCGTCTCCGAAGCCCGATTGTATTTTAAGGAGAAGCAGTCGCCAAGGGGTGAAAGCTACAATTTTAGACTTGAAACTTGCACTTTATCATACTAGAGCTAAATAGGCTACAAAACTGCATACCAAAATTTCTCAGGAGATTCTGATAAAAAAATTTGAAATTTGGTTGAAAATTTTTAAAATTTTTATAATTGAACAAAGTGTGAAATTTGAATTTATATGGTGTTTGTTGTATAATCGTACATGACCGCATGACAAAAACATAGTAAGGTAAAACCGTTCTCTCAATTCGGCAGCCATGATTTTTTTTTGAAGTTTGCCAACATTTTAAAATTATATAAAATTGAGAGTAAAAAAAGGAATTGTTCGAAGTTGTTGTTGTTTGAGATTGAAAATGAGAATTTGTGTGTAAATTTCAAAATTAAATTGCTTGCAAACGTCAAGGATTTGCAAAATTCCTCTCAGCGGTTCTACCTCCACGACCGTACTCGTACATGGCGTATGAGTAACATTTTCTATTTTAAAGTTTGAATTTTTTTCATTCGCAATGCATACTCAAACTGAATACATATATCTCGGGAGATTGACTAGATCTACAAAAAACGGTATACAAATCCGTAATCTACGACCCAAAATTAAGTTATGTGTCTCGGCATTTATTTGTCATTTTAGCGTCCCTACATGCGTGACACAGTAAACTAACATGTTGCCAAAAATCAACGGTAATTTGTAGCCACTTGAAACTTTCTTTTAATTTAAACAAAGGATTATCCACAGCTCGCCAAAAGTTCTTCAACGGCTCGGCGCTAGTGAGTCATAAGCAATCGTATGCTGTGAATGCCGCATTATACTAAAGCCAGCCTTTCGACATAGGCTACTATTCCATATGAACACAGATTTTATTTAAGGAAAAGGTTGTATGCCTAATGTACAAACGCGCATAATATTTAATCAAATAAAAACAATTACATAGGTGCATATTTGAACAAATGCTAATATAAAAAAAGATACAATTTTGATAAAACAGACATGCAATTTCGGTATTATTATTATCGATGTGTACTAAATACATACGTATGAATGTAGTATGTATGTACATATGCACAAATTATCTTCTATTAACAATTCAAAGACAGAAAAGTATTTGAGAAAATATACATAGCCCTTTTTGACAAATTTATAAATCAAAATAAAGTCACTTTGGTAAACAGGAAAACAAAAATGCGACAAAATCATGTGAAAATGGACAAAATCAATAGCAATTTTAATAGCACGCAAACCGATAAACGTCCTGCGGATAACTGGAGTCAAAGGGATGACTGTTTTGTTGATAGGAATATCGGAGTGTGTACAAATATATTTACATACAAACATACTATTAATGTATTCGCAGGAATACTTACGCCCTTTACAACAAAAGGCTGATACATTTACACAAAGCATGACAATAGTTTGGTGTGAGCACGTAGGCAGTAGGCAAATGAGGAATTAAGCAACATACAAGGGTTTTTGTTCGAGTACCTAATAGAAATTTATGAATGACTGAACAGATTCGTGTGCATTAAGGGAGTTTTGGGGGTTAGACCGATTGGTTGGTAGGCAGTATAAACGCAGACTCACATTCAATTGGATCATGTACCTACTCGTTACTTATGTATTTAAAAGTTGTACTTTGTGGAATGGATTCAGACTTACCGCTTCCTTTGTTGGTGCGTCTTTCTTGTTTAAGTTGACGAATATGGGAGCCAAATTTTTAAAACAATTTCTCCGGGACAGCGCAAGTATTGTAAGATTGACGCGTTAATAAAATCGTGTACGGGACTGACAATCCACGCTTTTTACTTTTGTCGCATCCGTTATAGTTAAACTTATGCTCACTCAAAGTCAAACGTAATGCAACTAGTTGATGTTTTCCAAAATTTGCATAGTTTTAAATTATGTATGTATATCCACCTTTCTCATTTAAAGGTTGCTGTTTATAACTTGAGAATAATGCAAATTTATTTTGCCAGTTTTATTCTTCTAATTTTTCTTTCTTTTAGTTTTACAAGTACATATTTTGTTGTAAAAAATTAGTTTATTTTTTTTGATTTTTTTTATGTTAAAAAATGTTTTTTTCCCCGACGAATTTGTTTAGACGACAAATTTGCTTGTCGCCTTTGCGACAATTTCGCAAAATTCACGGCACGATTTTTCTATTCCTTTTTGTTTTTCTATTCTGTTTTGGTTTCTTTTGAACTGCAAAAAACAAAGAACACACAAAATTCTTATACAGATGTACATACATACATATGTATGTGTATCCACTTGAACGAATTTCTCGAAATCTTCCCAGAATTCCAGGTAGAACCCTTCCGTTAACAAAATGAGTACACACAAACGCTGTAAAAAAAAAAAAACGAAATAAACACAACAAAGCGAAAGTAATCAAGGCGTCAATCTACGAAAAAAATTAAGTCCAATTGGCAGAAACCGGCGACGGCGCGAAACGAAACGAAAACTCAAAACACAAAATCCACTATATATGCAGAAAAAAAACACGGAATACGAACGAGAATATAGGTAACCGAGAACAGTAAAAACCAAAATGCTAAACTGAACTAAACGAAACAAAGCGGAAGGAAGAAACGGCAAGAAAATGCAAAATTTGTGATTTTTGATGTAAACTTTTTCCAAAAAAAGGAAAATGAATTTTTCTTTTCAAATTTGATATTTAAAACAAAACAAACATGTTGAAAGAAATATTTCCATAGCGAAACTTAGCTCCGGCTGTCGCATCGGCTTTAGAGCAGCCCATACTCGTTAAGATTAGTGCCCGCGCCCCATTTCCACCATCTTCCTCTTTAGACTATTTAGCTATGCACCAGGCGGTGCTCCTCTTCGTATTGCATAGCTACACAGAAAATTTTCACTCGCAGTACTACTTCGCCAATTTTCACAACACTTTTGCAAGCACCATAACGATATTTCGATTCCCGCACAAGTTTTCTTACTTTTGGGTCGATTTTACAAATAAAATTTGTAAAATTTAAGCTATTTTCTGCTTTTTTCACATAACACGACGAAAATCACACCAACTCGCACGCAACGAAGCGACGTGGAATGGAAGAAGAATCAAAGTGTAATGCAAAAATAATAGTGAATCCCTTTATGAGTGTTGCCAGAACTAAAACAGCCGACAGGGGAAAAATTTTGTACGCTTTTAAATTTTTTTTTCATGATTGAAATGGAAGATTTATATTGGGAGAATTTTCAGTGGCCTTTCAAATCATGATTCAATAATTAAAAGTTTGCTCAGAAATTATGTTTCTCGCTCCCTCTTGATAAAATTGCTTCCCTTAGCAAGGGATATCAGCTATTAGTCATTACAGCTTGCAAAGTTTAATATATACATACATATATGTATATGAGTACACTACATATCCATCTACAGATTTTATTCACATCAGGAACCGAATTGCAGCATTCGATATCGAACTTAACTCTAATCGAATTTTCATTTTGAGCTTCGCCCGTTTAAATTGTTTTGTGGAGAAGACAGCTACCAGTTTGCTTCATTCGATTCGAAATGAGTAATCACTCGGGCACGAATGCCGCGATTAAATAATTGAACTTGTGGAGGCAAGTGCTCAGATTGAATACAAAATCCGTTTGCATCCGTTTCTTATCAGCTTTTCATAGTATACATTTGGACTTTCAGGCAACACTGTTGTGGAAGTTTTCCATTGTTCCAACGAATTTTCTTGTTTTGGTGGCAAATAGCTTCCACATTCAGCGCTGTTGGAAGAAAATGTTAAAAGGAATTGAAACTATGTGTGGTGGTTGGCTCTACTAAAATGTTCACAGATGGCGCCTTGTGAGAAATTTTATAACAGAATTTTAATGTAAAGAGCAGGCGCAAATGTTAACAGAGAACATTTAGAACAGAATGTTAATCTAATGAGAAGGCCAGCAATAATTAGCTGCCGTTGGTGATACATATTTACAAATTTACGCCGCCAGTTTACGGGTGCCGTGGTGCATGCTGCAAAAGAGAAAAATGCTTTTTCCAGTTTTTTGCTCTGATTCAAAAACCACTGGAAGGGTGGTATTTTTTTATTTATTCAATTCTATTTTATTTTTGTTGTTTATTAAAACGAATATCGCTAGCTTAGAGTGAAAAGTCGCTAAGTCCTATTTGAAAAATGTTACAGGGGAGGAAAAAGAATCTTATAGCCATTTTCTTCAAGCATTTCGCAAAACTTTGAATACAACATTTTGGCTTCATATGTATCAGAGGAATTCGATCTTTATTAAAAGATTTCGTTCTATTTTGGCCTTATCGGATTTTCGGTGCTTTTTTTAGACTTAGCAAATTTTCCTTTAATTGAATTTAAACGAGAATAAATAACATATTTTTATACTTTTCGAAACAATACATTTTTAATTTCTCTTGCCTCCTGTATCAAAATACCTATGAGTTTTCATAAAAAGTGGACTTAGCAACTTTTCACTCTAAGCTAGCGATATGTACTACATAAATACGTTTATAAGCAAATCCCTAAAAAAGATCATTTGTCGTATACAAGCAGTAACATTTCATTCTTCTTTAAAATCATAGAGAAAATGAAGAGCAGAAATTCGAATAATTTTTAATAAATATATCGAGCCCTAACCGCCAAAATAACGTAAGCGACATTTTTTTCAAAATTTTCTTTTTGATGCAGGAATGTATCTAGATGCTCTAGGAATATTTCTGCATCAAAAAGAAAATTTTGAAAAAAATGTCGCTTACGTTATTTTGGCGGTTAGGGCTCGATATGTAAACTAATATTTTCAATGAAAATATTGATATGTATTTAGAAACATTTTTGTGCAACAAAGTAAAATGAATGAAATAAAATTATGTATGCATGTGGAAATTTCAGCGAAACATAGAACAAATTTAATTGGAACTTTATTTATATGAATTATGTACATACATACATATGTATTATTACACCGTGCGACAGTAAAATTTAAACACAAAAAAAATTAATATGTTCGTGAAAATATAAGTAAAATATAGTAAAACTGCGTACTTAGTTTTTCTCTCTGACGTCAGGATGTTTTTTAAAAAGACTTTGAAATGTAAAAAATATGATTATTTAAAAAAATTATGTAAAAAATTCAGTGCCATATAGGATAACAATAAGAATGGGTATGGAAAATGTCCTTTACAAATTTTATACTTAAATTTTTTTCATACAAAATTAAATAAGTTTACGAGGCTTACATAGTAACGAGGCATTTACGAGTTTTGGTGAATTGCCCTATTATATTTTTGTTGATAAGAAATTACATTATAAAAATAAAATTATTAACTTTGAGAGTTCGAAAGAAATTAATGAGAGTTACACAGATTTCAATTATTTTTTTATGAGTAAAAAGTAATTACTCAGGATCTGATTAATCAGGGTTATGAATGTGTACATCTTTCGTGCAACAAAGAAAATATAATATTGAGCAAAAATCGATACATATCGATATAAAAAAAATAGAATTATGTATGTACAAATAAAATTAAAAATTAAAATGTGATTGAAAAATAAAATTGCATACATACACACATGCATAAGAATATATGTATCTACATATTAATAACGCGCATGCGTACATATGTATGTATGCAAATGTGCATAATCTTAAATAAATAATTAATCACTTCTACTCACTAAACAAATATCTACAAACATCAAATCAAATTAAATTAACATTCTCTGGTAGTACCTACGGTTGTTGCTCCCGTTCATACTGCAGTCATTTTGTATGCAACTCTGAATCAGAAGAATGCATGCTCCTTCATGCTCATTGTCAACCCTGGTCAGATTTTACCCCCGAGGAGTACTCAAAAAGGTTTATTACTGTATATGGGGCGTTCCATACCAAAATGGACGCGGTTCACACTTCAAGTGTTTGATTTATTTCAAATAAATAAATATGAAATTTGAGCTTAATTAATACATTTTTAAAAACTTTACAGCACTAAAACAAAAACAAATAGAGAACGGGGCGAGGAAAAAATTTGAAAAAAATCACACATACACACATCAAAATTCTCTATGAAAATATAAAAAAAATATTAAAAACTTTTTTTTCTTGGTTAGGCAGTTGTACGCTTGACAAAAAATCCACGTGGTCCTTAAGCCTTTCCACTTTGTTGTCTAATGCTCGCCAAATTGGACATTTATGTGGATTTTTTATTTTTTAGAAATTTACAGTCCAACTCATTGAACAAGCCATTCATTCGCTTTATGAATTTTTGTGCAGGCTTAACACAATTCAACGTTTACGGATAGGAACGCAATAGGCCTTGCGAATTGGCCATTTCAATGCCGGCAGCTACTGCATTGCTGAACACCTGTGTTACCCGGAAACGCTCATTTTTTCAAAAGAGTTCGAATATATATACGACGAAATCAGTTTTTGGCATATTTTAAAACTAGTGTTATCTTTCGCGATGGAATACAGTTTCCTGATGACCTTGAAGCTACCAATTCCGTCAACGGTTTTCAAGTCGTGCTTCAATAAGTTGTTGTTGTAATGACAGTATTCGTAAAGGGATATTTTTTTTTTCATTTAATAAAATAAATGGTCTTGCTTCTGACACATTCATATCCTTGAATAGTCGGCCGTTAACAGGACCTTGATCACAAACGATCGCTATAACATTCAGGCCCAGTAAAACAGCAATGTTTGTCTCCTATCTTCATCGCGCTCTTGCCACCGCCGCTGTCAACGAAACCAGTGCTGAGATCTTGACTCTCAATGTAGCAAAGATCCGATTTATTTATCGAATATTATTTGACAAATTCTCTCCTGCATGGAAATTTCGCTTACAATTTTTTTAACCTAATCGACCGCCAACGCAAGATGGGGTTTTTGTGGGGGAGGACAAATTTGAGCTCATCCCTCATAAAGTTATATGCATGGGCGTAGCCAGATAGGGGCAGGGGGGTGTCGTTGAAAGTTTGTTTTTATTGCACCAAGTTTGGATATACATACATATCTCTGTTATATTTTATTTTATTTTATTTTACTTGATTATATTTTATTTTATTACTATTTTTTAATTTAATTTAATATTCTATTTTTTATTTATTTTGAATTATTTTATTTTACTAGTTAATTTAATTTAATTATTTTATTTTATTAAATTATTTTATTTAACTTAATTATTTTATTTTATTAGTTTACTTCATTAAACTGTATTATTTATTTTAATTTAATTTAATTTTAGTTTATTATATTTTATTTTGGCTAATTTTATTTTATTTTTACTTGATTATATTTATTTTACTTGATTTTTTATATTCTATTTAATTTAATTTTTTAATAATATAAAAATGTGCAGTTTATAGTTATAAACAGGGACAAAAAATAATCATAATTTTAAAAATTTTTACCAAAAAATCAGCAAGTTATAATCGCCATACGTTTATTGTAAATAATTTTTTATTTTTCGAGTTCAAACCAATAAAGTTTTAATACATTTAATAATTAATACTTGAGTTTTATTTTTTCCCTCAAATAATCAATCTTAAGTGTTCTCTGATATTAGTGGCAATAATTCGAATGGGCGCACAATCAATATTAGCGGCGCACAGTGTTGCGAGCTGGACAAAATAGAAAAAAG